ATAGTATTTTCCTTAAAATAATTCGTATACACTAGAACTGTATCGGCAAAAACGCTATTTTCGTCGAAGATGATGAAGTATGTAAGTAAATTCTTCTTTACAGTATGTCATTGTCAAAGATGTTTTGTAAAATTAAACCTCACACAATGATATGAGAGGGAGAATTTGTTTATGTGTGTCTCATCTCTTACATACAAAGAATACATGCAAATGGAGATAAAATATAATGTACAAGCCGCCAAAGGTCTACAAGAGAAGCTTGCAATAAAATTACATAAAGCTTTGCAATACACGATATGTATTCACACCTGCTTTCTTCAAACATATATCTTTACGACACAATTAAACAATCAGGACTTGTTTGTACGACTAGATAGTTTCCTGTCATCCCCGAAACCTGCCAGGGAAATCAGGTGTGATTAGTCTCGGCACAGCGAGCCGGGCAATCAGCAAGGGGTTCCAGGTGTTGGGTAGTGAGGTGGCTCTCGGGCTTAATGAGTTAAACACTGAATTTGGTGATGAAAGTTATACATGTTTGTTTGAGCATTTTTATTGACAGAGGTAGGACACAAACTGATAAAAGCAAACACTTCTTCCATCATTTACATGATAATGTATACAGCAGACAATAAAGAATATTAAAAATCAGTCAAATAGCTAGATTTTAGTTGGTTCAAATCTTACCTGAAATAATTTCCTGATCAATATTTAGATATAAATAAGACTGCCGTTAACTCAAGCCATGTGAATGGCATGTAACTATCACCATCTGTACATTTGCGAAACAAAGGGAATCAGTAACGCATGACTGAATGTAGGTTAGTATTTGAGGAAACGGGGTATTAACTGTACAATTAGTCAAGTTCCTATCAAAATGGCCTCTTTGTTTATATCTCATAACATATGACATTCAAAATCTTACTGAACTGTTGTGTTTTAAAAAAAAGTAATTTGTAATTTAATTCAGTAAGTAATTGTTATTTAATTAATTACATTTCAAAGTAATTGAACCCATGTCTGCAAGAGGCCAAAAAATTTGTTTACAGTTTGTTTTCACTCGCCTGTCGAACATAAGAGAGACTTTTCAAGACTTGAGATAGGATAAGTTTAAGAATGAAATGTTTTAAGTTTATATGGAGTAATAAACATGACAAGATAAAACAATCTCAAACCATTTGTGATAAGGCAGTTGGGGGAATAACATGTCCCCAAAATAAGACAGACTATATACTTTCAGAAAATAGCTGTGTTAAGACGCATCTTTACTACCAACTGAAATCCTGAGTAAACAACAAAACGCACGTCTACTTTCCAACATAAATAAACCATTTTACAAAGATCTAATACAAGGTTGGTGGTTGTTTATAGAAGGTTTGAACAAAACTACTTTTACTAATACTGATATTATGTCTCAATCAGTTTTGTTTAATGATAACATACAAGTGGGATATAAAACAATCTTTATTGAAAAATTGTACAAAATAGGCATAAAATACATGAACGATTTTATTGACGAAAAGGGACAATTATACTCCTATAGAGACTTCTGTAAGCTAAACTCCATTGCCATAAACTACTAAGATTATTTAGGCATATTTAACAATATTGTAGGAAACAAAATACAGAAAAAAGGAACAAAATTGCATATCCTTTACTATCATTACACATTGCTCATTCATTGAAAACTCAGAAAGGTTCACAATATTTCTACAAAACATTGATACAAAAGCATCTGACAGTGTAAAAACCAAAATTTCGCAAAATGGAAACATATATTATCCCATATTAAAAATAACAATAACAATCAGGACATTTCTATATATAGTGCTGATCTCCACACCTCATGGGCATGTTCTAAGCGCATACAACAATTCAAGTCAGTATTAATATCACCGAAAGAGATAGGTCTTGAGATGAGCTTTAAAGACGTCAAGTGAGGGAGAGCATCTCAGATCCTAGGATGAGAGTTCCAAAGTACAGCTGACGCATACGGAAAAGTTCTAGAACCAAATGATTTTAATTTGTATGAAAGAACACAAAGGAGGAACTGATCAGCAAAACGTAGGCTTCACGTAGGCTGGTAGACAGATGTTAAAGCTTGTAGGTATGGAGGAGATGTCATGTGAACAGCCTTGTACATCAGTGACAGATTTTTTAACTGTATCTTCTCTTCTACACATAGCCAATGAAGAGGTTTGAGGACGGGTTGAACGATAGAGAATGCACAACCTATACTTCATTAGTGTTTCAATGCACATATTCTTGAAGTTTCAATGGTTCCAGTATCAGATTTTGCATCATACTAGTATCTTACCAATAAATTCTTGCCTTTATAAAATGGGATACGTTGAAGCAATTTATGCAGCTTTATTTGCTCCATTTGTTCTGGGCATGCCATTATAAACGCTCCATTTGTAATGATTTGAAAAATTGGCATAGAAGGCAGGGCTCCAGGTAATTTTTCAACATCAGGAGTACGTACTCCTTATTTTTTCAATATAGGAGTACTGAAGTACATTTAGAGTACTGAATGGAAAATAATGGCGTATCAGTAATCTTGTGTTTTGTTTTATATATGCACAACAACATTGCTACTCTTGTGTAGACAGGCCAATAAACAATAAAACAATACTTTTTCAGATAAATACGTCTGTAAATGATTTTAAGACCATACACCATTGCTGTGGTGCGTATCTGCTACGTTTTCTAAATTATTTCCTACCGTATCATGCATATTTTCTATCCGTACATACGCCAATACGGCCCTTATCTGTAGCCCTGTCAGAAGCTCAGATAAATATGAATATATCCAAAGAAATTGTTTTCCTTGGCTATACCGAAAGAAATAATAACCAACTTAACATCATCACATCAATAACAAAACATCATATTTTCACCAGAAGATCACAAAAGAAAATGCAAGAATTCAAAGAAATCCGAAGGGAGCTAACTGACTGTTGCAGATTAACTAAATATGCAAATATTGACATGTTACATAAGTACTGGTCAAGTTGCCATTTACTTTTTTGTTAGTTTTATGAACTGTAATGTGTATGCGCTACTGTAAAAATGCAACATAAATAATTATATATATATATACAAAAATGTTTCACTTTCTTGGTAATAGACAAAGACATTTGCTTGGACTCAATAATAAATTCTTTCTTCAGTGTAGACAGTTTAGCATCTAAATAGTCCCGGAACAGTTGAATAGGCTGAAAGTCATCACCTCTTGGTTGTTCTGAACGTTTTGAAGAAGCAGAGTCCTGTACACCGTCGTCCAAAGAATGCACCATGTTTGTAGATACAACTGAGACATGCAACAGCAGTCCCGCACATGATATCCGCCCTCTTACAGCATACTCATCACGTAACTTACTGCACGGGCTCAAGTTCATTTATTAGTAAATACATTTAGAACAACATATCTCATACACTGGTAGAACAAAAACATTTCCTAGCAATTATACTCACTAACATTCTACGGTCACTGATGTGACATTCTCAAGAGACTGAAGCAAAATACATTTTTTAAGATATATATACTTATTGCCCACGTGGTCAACGTAAGGGTACGTGCATACTAATCTCGTACGTCACACGAGTGTCGTATCGCGTTGACCTGTGCCGTGACGACTTGACCTGAGATTCTAATGAATGGATTGGATAACCGATGACTTCTCAGTTAGGTCACTTTGTGACGGAACTTTCGCATTCATTACAAACATGTGAATTCATTCATTCTACAACTTTTACTACATCAATCAAGTTACACGTTTTACGTTATAATAGTTCAGGGCAAAAGTGCACTTTATTACACTATACACGGTGGTAGAGCGAACTGTATTTCTTTTCTAAGATGCCAAATCTAATACTTTCTAAGGTTAACTACGATAAGGCAGAAAACAAACAGAAAAAAGACGGTGTGGGTGACCTAAATTAACAATCCTCGCTCACTGAAGTGCTGTTCTATTGACGTGTCTCCTCCCCTACGTTAAGACGCACATTACCAGAAAAACAGTTTGATGACGGTTTAAGTTCGGGTTAAATATCTTCTCTGAGTTATTTTAAAATTACATCTGTGATTAATGTAGACCAAATGGGGCAATATGAACATCGCATTTCTACTACCAACATAAGTTTAGATCAGTACACCTGACTAGTCACGCCAGATTCCACGGACGCATTGTGGGAATGTGTAAACATTGCGAACGTTACCGTGTCGCTGTTAAATTGTGAATAAACTGAGACATTTTATTCGTTGAAAACCATAAGTGTAATGTTTCCGCCAGTGATGTTAGCCACGTGAAGCAACTGCAAACCAAGAAACGGGGTGCTACGGAGTGGTTTACTGTACGAGGCTGTTCGAGGTGATTGTTATAGGGACTAATTCAGGACAGCCATCGTCCAAATATTTAAAAAGGGGGAATTCCATAGTAATTCCTGTTTTTTATGAAATACTTACGAGTAATATCACGAGTTCTTTTCAATTTGCCCATACTAGCCAAACTTACAAAATACACGAAATTTGTTACCCCGAAACTGGGAAACAAACGTAAAGATTTTCCAAGACATATGGTTCTAGCGCTACGCTACGCTGCGCTCGGGGCAACACACCACTCGTCCGTGGCGGGTGACGTCACGCTCCAGATGACGTCACGATCTCTATAAATACGAGCGCTAACCATGCAACTTCCTCAATGTCTAAACCATAACCTGTAACCCTACCACTCCTAGAGGCCGTCCTTGTTAGAACGTTGCTCAACATTCGGAAAATAAGTTTCCCAATGTGGGGAAGGAGGGTGGGAATTATCATATAAGTATTTCATAAAAACAGGAATTACTATGGAATTCCCCCTTTTTATTACAATACTTACTCCTAATATCATGAGACTTTGTCATAGCGGACGGCGGTAACCGAGCCTCGTCCTGACAAGTCGCCGATATAAGGAGAGGTATTGTAAAGCGAAGGAAAATCCCTGCGGTCATGCCAACCTAGGTCAGGTCGACCCGGCCTTGACATTGCCACCCACGCGGGGGCGGGTCAGCCCGACCTGGTAGGAGTTGCCTCCCCTAGAACATAGGGAACTTCAGTGCACAATAATAGAGAAAGAAAATTTACTCACCTTTGGCTTGTAAATCTTCAAGATGGTCGGTCTGGCCGTTACCATGACTTCCATCCCGTGAAGGGTATACAGAAGTTTCTTCTCCAATCCCCGTTAAGGGAAAATGACATTTATGGCACTAAGGAGCACAATGTTATTGGTACCCATAAAAGCAGCCCATATAACATTACTATAAACACACTAACTCTGCAACCACAGCGCAATATACTCAATATTGCGGGAGGACAAATATTCCAAATTCACAGAAATATCGACATCGTCATTTACAGAGCGATAGATTCTGTGCTACTGCGAGGGGAAGACGTTTACACCCGTTTCGCTGTGTAGCAACGTTTCTGATATAAAATCTCGCAAAAGTGGAAGGTTGTCTCCAGTAATAGCATCTAAAGAGACTGAGGAGGCGAATGCTAGTGAGGCCGAGATAGCCCTTAATTCGTGTGATTTTTCACTACTAGAGGTCAGCAGGTCGGATTTACCTGCCTGATCATAGGCTACCCTGACAGTGCCCGTAATCCACTTAGAGAAAGAGGCTGCCGCAATTTCTCTACCTTCCGTTGTGTAGGAAATAAACAACCTTCTCTGTGTAGTCCGTAGGGGTTTAACCCTGTGGATATACCACTTAAGGGCGCGTACAGGACAAACTAAGCGATTCGAATCCTTTTTCTGCAAGGTATTGGAGAGAGAAGGGATTGTAATCGGAGCTAAATACTCATGTGGTTTCTGAGTCTTAGCCCTGAACTCTGGAAGAGTTTGTAAGCTTACTAAGTCATCCTGTCAACGTAAACTTTGGAAATCAACAGCGTGTAACTCACTTCGGCGACACGCTGTAGCCACAGCCATGAGGAAGGCTGTTTTGTAAGAAACGAGCCGTAACTCTGCCGTCTCCATTGGCTCGAACGGGGCTTGCTTCAAAGCTTCGAGGACTAAGAATACATCCCATTCGGGAGTCAACTGTTTCGACACCGCGAACGCAGACATTGACGTCATTAGATCTCTCAGGACTGGTCCCCCGAGAAGTCGGGACCCCCGCTTTGGCGTATTGTGGTACAAATCGCAGAGGAGTAAGATTTAATAGTTCTAGCTTTACGGTGTGAATTCACCTGTAGGTGATTTAGAAACTCGGCTAAGTCTTTCACCATTGGACGTAAGGTATCCACCTGTTGTGACTTCGTCCAATCCACCCAGCACTGCCAGTGTGACTGATATAGTCTTTCAGTTGACGAGCGCCTGGACTGAGCGACGCGTTCGGCAACTGCTTTAGAAAAAACTCGCGTCTGGAGGGAGTCTTTGACAGTTTCCAGGCGTGTAGGTCTAACACTGACGGGTTCTTGTGGCATATCCTCGACTGAGGTTGCACTAACAGATCGAACCGGCGTGGAAGCGCTATCGGTGGGGCCACTAGGAGCTCGAGCAGCGTGGGAAACCACGGTTGAGCCAGCCATCTTGGAGCTATGAGAGTGAGAAACTTTCCTTTCGCGCTTTCCTTATCACCCGATCCAGTATCGGAGGTGGAGGAAAGGCATAGGCGACCAGACCCGTCCAATCTAATGTGAGAGCACCGTGTGCCCACACTAGGGGGTTCGGAACCGGGGACACAAACAGGGGGAGTCTGTGATTCAACCGTGTGGCCAACAGAACCACATGGGGAGTTTCCCAAGCTGACAATTTCCCTTTCACCACCGAATGGTGTAGTGTCCATTCTGTCTGAACCACCATGCCCCTTCTGCTCAGGGCGTCGGCCAGTACATTTATCTTCCCCTGAATGTGTTGAGCTATTAAGTGACCCTTCAGATCTCTCATTTTGTTGGGAACTATGAGTGTTCTCTGACAGAGTTCGGGAGACTGTGTCCCCCCCTCCTTGTTTATGGACGCGGCAACCGTTGTGTTGTCTGTACGAAGGAGAGTCACTTTGTTCGCCAAGTGGGGTTTGAACACCTCCACTGCCCGATTGACCACTTCCATCTCCAGGACATTGATGTGGAGATTGCGAAAGGTGCGGTTCCCACTGAACGTCGGCCTGTAGGGTGCCCAGATGTGCCCCCCAGCCCGTCTGTGGGTGGGTGTCGGTTGGTGTAATGACATGGTCGGAGACAGGAAGTCTCGCGCTAACCGTTGACTTATTGACGAGTTGAACCACGTCCCGAGGGGAACGGGTGTGTCCCAGCTCAGATGGTCCCACTTGGAGGCTAGCATCAGCTGTAGCTCTCTTTTTGCCAGTTTCGCCCAGGGTAGAATTTTTGAAAATGATTCAATCTGACCTAGGAGAAAGTGAATCTCTCTCGGCGTGGAGAAAGTCTTTTTGCACAACTTGTGTGCTAGCGTGACAAAGGCGTTCAGACGGTGATCGGCGGGAGACACAGTGGCTTCCCCTAGGTCGTTTCACCCCGAGAATAGTAAATCTCTGAGAAGGGACTAGTTCCGATTTCTCGAGATTTATTACAAACCCTAGTTTCACAAAAAATTCCTGAATCTGCTGACTCTGTGAAGCACAGAGGAGATTCGACCTGGCAGGACTCAGGGAATCGTCCAGGTAAGCATGAAACCGGAGACCCAGGCAGTGGAGCCTTGCTACCACTGCTTTCATGACTCGGGTGAATACGTAGGGGGCTGAGGCTAGACCGAACGGAAGAGCATGGAACTCGTACATGCGATCCTCGAACACAAACCGGAGGTATTTTTTCGACGTTTTGTGAATAGGAATGTGAAGATAGGCGTCTTTTAAGTCTATTGAAATAGCCCAGTCGCCTTGATTTAGAGAGGTTCTTATGGAAGTGAGAGTTTCCATTTTGAACGCCTCTACTAGCGTGTACTTGTTCAGGTGAGACAGGTCTAATACTGGCCTCCAGTCTCCGTTTCTTTTGGGGACTAGGAACAGTCGGGAGTAAAATCCCAGCCCGGGATTCGGGAGGGGAACGATCACCCCTTTTCCGAGAAACTCCCTTATCATTTGACGCAACGACGACAATTGATTTTTGTCTCTGGGGAGTGCAGACAGAGGAGGGTCTTATGTTAGCGGCGAGTACGATACGCCGTGAAACTAAATGCAGTATCCGACCCTTAGTACGGAATGTACCCAAGGTCGAGTGTCTCCTCTTCCCATGCTGGTAGGAAGTGTGACAACCTGCCAGCTATAGGGAATTCTGCCCCTGATACGGAGGCCTGACTGGGTACAGGGTCCTGAGTGGACACCGGTATCAGAGACTCTCTGTTGAGCTCTCTTTGGGGGAAGGAGTCAGGAACGACCTGTGGCCTTCCCTGCCGGCCGCCGAACTTGACTCGCCACCCTTGGGTGGCTCTGTTGGAGGACTGCTTCGTCCCCCTTTTCCGATTCGGTCAGTGTCGTTTGGCACCAGTCGGACCGGACGCGGCGGCAGTTTGGGGAGGAGGTACAGTCAACTTCCCCACGGAAAGAGACGGAGGCTGACGGGTGTACAGCGCGTCGTATTTCCGCCTGTCCGCCAGCTGCTGCATTCGGTCAGGGAGACCCGTGCCGAAGAGTTGCCGACTCTCAATGGGGGCACACCTAAACTGCGCCCTTGTCTGCTCGTCGTAAGAGCAAGCAGCCAAGGTCGCGGCTCGCCTCGTTAGCAGGAGACATGCCATGAAGCGCCCTTGCAAGCGTGACAGATGTGACAACGCAGTCAGAGCTAATGTCATCCACGCTTGCAAGGGAGGCGTGTCCGCCTCCAAGTCCTTAGGCAGGGCCAGGAAGGTCCCATCGAGAAGCCAGAAAAGATGTGAAATCACCCCAAAGTAGTGGCGGCACATCTCCTCCCAGCTCCTCAGGTTTTCCGAAGCTATCAGCAATTTTGCAGGGTTCTCCGCAGGAAAACGTGAGAGGAACTCAGGGGGCACGGGGGGAGCTGCCAGGGAGAACAGCTCCGCCCCGTCCGGCGTAAAGCAAGAGTATGTGCCCTGACCGTAAATACGAGGGGATTTACGGGTGGGCACTTTACCTGTCTTCATGGATCTACCGTCCTCCGGCAGGTCTGAATTTCCCGATCCTCGGATCAGGTCATTCAGCTCCGTCCATATCTCATCCAAGTCCCTAGAGAAGGGTAGGGAGAGGAAGGACGTAGGTGCACGTGTTCCCCTACTGCCGTGGGGGGTCCAAGTTCCCGAAGGATTTGCTGTCCGATCGCACTGACAAGAGGAAATCCTTCAGGGAGAGGATGGATTCGGTGAAGGAATAATCCCCCACTGTGCTTCCCTCCCCCACATCCGAGGGGGTGGATGGACCCCTAGGGACAGTCAGGTTAGGCCCAGTGGGTCCTTCCCGACTGCCCTAGACGGTAGAGGAGGGTCCCACCCTAGGGTGAGACTCCTCCTCGTACAGGATGCTCGAGTTCACGGACGAGGAGTCATCCGGGTCTGAGTCCACGTCCATGGGACGCTGCCCTTCTCCTTTGGGCAAACCTAGCGGGACTGTCGGGGCCTGCATGGTCGTCGCACCCGTGTCTCGCCTAACAACCCGAGCAAAGGTCGAGGGTGGGTCCCTTGGAGCTGAAAGGGCCTGGGGGAAGCTTCCAGAGGTCGCTACCCCACTAGGCACATTCTGCTGCCGTAGAGAAGACAGAACCTGCTCCAGAAGCAAACTTTGCCTCTGGATGTCCTGGCCGGCACCCACCGCAGGGCCGGCCGGAACCTGACCCGTAGCCAGGTCGGCCCACGAGGCTGAAGGCTCGGTGTCCCGTTGGGATACACCGACCCTAATCCTGTCGGTCCCGTATGGACGTTCGGGAACTATCTGGGCCGTTGACTCCAGACCCAGGGGATCTGACGAAGCTGGCACCTGGGAACTCGGGCCGACCTCAACCCCAAGGGTGATGTCAGACACAGGAAAGTCGGGGATGCAGTGACGTCCGGGACAAATCCGGAGGTCCCAGGCAGCGGGGAGGTGGCCCTGAGGGCCCCTACACCCGCCACCACGTCGGAGAAAGACCGGTGGTCCGTCACCGACGACGAAGAGCTCTCGTTGGAGAGATGGCGTTCGGAAAGTCGCTTGAAACGAAGCTCCCGTTTCAGCGGCGCCTTCGAGCAGCGCCTCTCCAACTGGGTCCACTGCTCCGGTGTCCAATCCTTGCACACAGCACAAGACGGCGACCGAGAGCAGTGGCGGCACATAAACATAAGGGGTGCGGATCATCTGCCTTCAGATTAATGCCCGCACCCCCGAGCTTCCACACCAAAACACTTCAAAGAACTATGTGACATAATTCTTTGACTAAAAGAGCAAACTGGGCTGCTAGGGTATTATACCAGGGGTGTGCTCCGTAGCAGCCAAAATTGAAAAGAGGAAGTTGCATGGTTAGCGCTCGTATTTATAGAGATCGTGACGTCATCAGGAGCATGACGTCACCCGCCACGGACGAGTGGTGTGTTGCCCCGGGCGCAGCGTAGCATAGCGCTAGAACCATATGTCTGGGAAAATCTTTACGTTTGTTTCCCAGTTTTGGGGTAACAAATTTCGTGTATTTTGTAAGTTTGGCTAGTATGGGCAAATTGAAAAGAACTCATGATATTGGCAGTAAGTATTGTAATTAAAACTAAAAACTATGCATATGTACTCAAGACATGTGAGACATTATTGTAATTATTTATATGATGCTAATCTGTATTCTATGCAATCTTTATCACTTCCGCATTGTACATTGACTTGTCAGGCAATTAATTACTGTATATGACATTTATAATCTTAATTGGTCATCCCCCCTTGGCCGTGTCTGCCATCACATCAACTGGTCAAAGAAGTGCTATTGTTTTTCTATATGTCCATTGTCGAGTCGTGGCCTGTCCATTGTTGTCAAAAATTGTATATATACTTAATATGCTCACATCTATATGTGGAAGGAGTACGAGTCTGGTATTCTGACAATCTGTGTAGGGACATCCACGAGCGGGATAATGCTGCTCGTTGGAAACGCCCTGGGGTTGAGCAGGTAATCCGCTCACCTCATTTATGTCTTGTGTATTTTTTTGTCATGTAACTAAAGAAGTTTGAACTCTACGTATTCCTTCGTCTTGTCAACATATTGAACGTACACCTCATCTTAAACATGAGCTAATTCCCCAGTCGACACAATTATCCACGCTTTGACATGATGACAACTGACATGCATCCTGACATCGGTTACCAAGGGTACTTTTGACAACGAGGTGGCAGACGAGAATGGCTTGGTGACTTCAATACAGTATGACGTCATGCAAAATTCTTCCGCAACCTCTTTATGAAACCAGTTTCGGTTTGAAAGCATAAAAACAACAAAAATACGCTATTTTGTCAATTTTATGCAGGTAAGTCGTGGGTAATAAATAAAACACAACACTCAGTCTCATTACATGCAAATTATACGAAACTTGTGACCTTCCTATATTTCGCTCGGTCAGATACCATAGAAAGGTCATGAGTTTCGTATAATTTGTATGTAATGAGACCTCGTGTAGTATTCTCTATATATGCAATACATTTTTTTGGTACTACATGTACTAGTATATCCTAAAGTTACAACATTTTCAATGTGCAATTTCAATATGCTCATCAACAAAGAATTTCTACATTTCTACAAATACATGTAATCTTGTCAAAACATGTGGAATGCAATCAAAACCATATTGTATTTTCCTTAAAGAGATTTAAAGGGAAAGAGTGCAATATTGTCTTGCTTTGACAATGTTTCGCAAGCCATTCTGAAGCATTCGGAAATATAGGAACAGTTTGCTGAGTGAGGGGCATAAAACAAACAACCAACCAGCTTTGTAACATACAGATATTTCCACTGTTGAATGGCTAAAGCCATCTTGATCTTTAAAAATTAATGCATGCATTTCCACGTAAAATTGTATTCGCATATTAAGAATTGGCAAGCTACATAATGTTCAGTAGTGTAATTCCAAGGTACATAGTTGGGTCATTGATGTTGCCCTTCTAATACATAATTTATATAATCAAAGTTAACCAGGCTTTTGGAAAACGTCCACTGAGGCAGTCACATTCTTTTTATTGCTTAAGTTTTAGATAAACAGATAGAAAAGCAGTTGGGTGTAGACTCCCCAGCCATGGTAAGCTCTTGCCCTCAGCCAAGAGGATTGTACTGACTGTCTGTGGCCAGACCAGCTATTTGTTTGTTGTTTAACACCACACTCAGCAATATTCCAGCTATATAGAGACTGTCTGTAAATAAACAAATCTTGACAAGACCAACCAGTGATCAACAGCATGAGTATCGATCTATGCACTTGGGCCACAATGACATACCAAAAATATACAAACATAAAGAAACAGAATTCATTATGTGAAAGTTTCAGGAATTTGAAAATATTAACTATACATTGAATATTTATAATACTTATCCTATCTCACAGAGTGTACTCTCTCTTTAATTCGACTGTTGAGTGGAAACGAACTGTAAACAAATTTTCTGGCCTACACCCTTTGCCCGAACACTCCCCACTGCCCCCGTTCCTGGACAGCCTGGCGGCTTCCTGATAACCATACAACATGCTCTCCGGTTGGTCATGTGACTCCCCCGTCCTGTCATTCTCATCTTGGAGCAATTGTTGTATTCTGTGAAGTGGGGATGGTTGGGCGGGAATCCATTGCATGAGATAGGATAAGTATTATAAATATACAGTTTATAGTTAAAATATTCAAATTTTTAAGACAGAATGTGATGTCTTTGATGTCATTGAGCCCAAGGATGGAGGACAACGGCAGGAGGGTAAAAAGCCTATCCTCTTGTCCTGGCAGTTGGCTCTTCACTATGAAGTCCCATCGGTGACCCAGACAAACTCTGCTGTGCCTCTTCCTCTCGAAACGTATGTGATAGACATCCAGAGTGTGGAGTTCCAACATACATGCAGCAGTAGCAAGAGCTACCAGGAAGAAGGTCTTGAAAATGATGCGCTCAATATTTTTCTCTTCGGGAGGTTCGGTAAAGCTTAACAGAT